CTTCTGCTCTGAAAATGTTTTTGCCCCATCTTCCTATAGTATTGTGCACATATATATTTATGTATATATGTATATATTTGTGTTTTTACTTCATTCATTGACTATGCCATACATTTTAGGGATTATGTTTACTTTACATGAAATATTGGAAATAAACACCATATTTTCAATTTGATTATCATTGAAGAAAATGACTCTTTATCCTCATTGTGCATTTTCAACTTTCCTCTGAATTCTGGAAACTAAAAAGAAGTAGCTCTCTTGAACACTACAAACATGCTCTAACTCTAATTTATGTAAAATTTATACGGCATGTAAAATTTAAACACATTCATAATGGACTCAAGTAAAATTTGAATTCCTTGCCATTTTCTTTTTTTCTCTAAAAATTTTTTTTTATTAATTTTACATATCAACCACAAATCCCCCTCTCATCTCGGTTCCCCCACCAATCTTCCCCCCAACCCACCACCCATCCCCTCCTCCAAAAGAGTAAATCCTCCCATGGGGGACCAGCAAAGCCTGGTACATTCAGTTGAGGCAGGACCAAGCTCCTCCCTTCTGCATCAAGGGTGAGCAAGGTGTCCGACCATAGGTAATGGGATCCAGAAAGCCAGCTCATGCACCAGGGATAGATCCTGATCCCATTGCCAGGGGCCCCTCAAACAGACCCAGCTACACAACTGTCTCCCGTATGCAGAGGGTTTAGTCCAGTCCCATGCAGGTTCCACAGCTATTGGTCTAAGGCTCGTGAGTTCCTATGAGCTTGTTTCAGTTGTCTCTGTAGATTTCCCCTGTCATGATCTTGACTCCCCTTAGTTCATATAATCCCTCTTCCCTCTCTTCGACTGGATTCCCTGAGCTCAGCATGGTGCTAGACTGTGGATGGCTGCATCTGCTTCTATCAGTTACTAGATGAAGACTCTATCATGACAGGGTATTCACTGATCCGGTTACTGGGGTAAGCCAGTTGAGGCACCCTCTCCACTATTGCTAGTAATCTAATCTGGGGTCGTCCTTGTGGATTTCTGGGAATTTCCCTAGCACCAGGTTTCTCCCTTACCCCATAATAACTCTAGATATCTTTTTTATTGCTCTTTCACTCCGTCCCTCCCCCAGCTCGACCATCCCATTCCCATCTCATGTTCTCCAGCTCATGTTCTCATCCTTCATCCCCTCCCCTCTATTGCCTACCACACCCTCACACAATGGAGTATTACTCAGGTGTAAAAAACAATGGCATCATGAAATTTGCAGGCAAATGGTTAGAACTAGAAAATATCATCCTGAGTGAGGTGACCCAAACTCAGAAAGACAAACATGGTATGTACTCACTCATAAGTGGATACTAGGTGTTAAGCAAAGAATTATTAGACTACAACCATAGCTCCAGAGAAGCTAGGAAACAAGGAGGACCCTATGAAGGACTCATGGATTGCCTTGGGAAGAGGAAACAGAGATCTCCTTTTCATTTTCAACCATGGATCTTCACTCTGTTATCTTATTTCATTTTAAATTGTCTGCTAGCATTTCGTAGGCTTTTTTTTTCTCCTTCTGGAAAGTGGGTAAGAATGTAATGCTTTCACAGTTACCGAAACATTCTTAGTCTCTTTTTTCTTATGTTCATGACTCATTACTCTCATGCATCTTCCCCACCCCTCCACCCCGAGGCTGTTTTCATTTCCCTTACCCATACTCTCATCAGAATAATAGTTACCTAATAGCATCTATTTTTTCCAAATCATATTCATTTGAATATTTTAATCTATTTGTTGCACTGATCTGTTGCTTTCTAAATTGGGTAAATTCACATAAATATACTCACAATTCTACTTTTATTTAGTATGCTGTCATTTTGTACTCATGGCCAAAGTCCATAATAGTCAATTTTCTCTTCTGTGCTTCTGTGTTTGCACATTTCTTAGTATTTCAATTTCTGTCATTACTAGCTTATTCTTTTACAAATTTTGCTGAGACTTAGCTGTGTTTATCTTGCTGAGATAAACATCATGGCCCTAAATTTTATGCTGCCTACTATTATTTTTAGCAAAGTTCCACTTGACACATAGCCTGGGAATGAAAAAAACATATCCTGTTGGGGGAACTCTGATTTGAACTTTGTGAAAGATAATGGATGTACTTCAATGATTGAACAGCAGCCTAATGATTTCGAAGGTCCAGAGCATTCAAAGGCATTTTGGACATCTAAAGAACACTGTGCCATCATTAAACCAAAGGTGGGAGAACAGCAGTTTCAGTTCTGGAAACAACTTAAAGAATTCCTTTCCCACTGAATATGATTTTCTGTCATCTCCACATAACAGCTGGTATTTGCATGGTTTTATACTCTCATGTCTTAATGTTTGCTATAAAATAAAAAAAAGGGCAAGGGATGGCATGCAATGGGTGACTTTGGCACTCGAAGGTAAAGTCCGTGGTCATGAACAATAGGCAATTCCTAGATTATTTTTTCAAGGTGGGTTTCACATACACCAGTGTCATAAGATACTCATGGAAAAAGAGTCCTTTGTCATGGAAGATTCGAATAGCATCACTGGGGAGACTGCTTCTTTGGAAATGGGTACTCTGACAATCCAGGTTTCTTCCACGGAGCTACATGGTAGAAAGAGAGAAGTGGCCACCTCCAGTTGTCTTCTGTCCTTTACATACATTTTGTGGTGTGTATACACACATACACACACACATACACACACACACACACACACACACACACACACACACACACACAAACTAAATAAATGCAATTTCAAAATATCTTTTAAAAGATTTAAATGCCTTTGTAAAGAAGTCAAGTAGTATAGAAATATTTATACCTTGTGTTCTGTATTTTTAAGTATTCACGAATATTCCATAGACTATTTTGAGAATGACTAGGAACATGGTTCATATGAGGGTAGTGGGAGATGTGAATAAAGCTGGCATAGAGTTTATTGCCTAGGAATGTAGTTGAAAGCTTTGTTTATTGGTCTTTCCTCTTAGCACAAACCATTAATCAAATGATGCTTTCCTAGAAACCAGGGCAAGATTTAACCGAAGATATTAATCTATTTCTGAAGATAAAGGTTACTTTTCTTTCAAGTACTCAGTATGTTTAATTTAAGTTCAGAATCACTATTCTTGCTTTCAAGTGGAATTTGTGAACAAACAGTAAATGAATCAGATTAGTCAGATGCAAACTACTGAAAAATATTGCCTAGAAAAACATCAGAATAAATTGTCTAGAAAAATGTCATCTTTTACTTAAAGAGTAGATCTAGCTAGGCATTCAGTTTAGGTAAAGGGTATGGTGGTGTTATTGTTTCAGGGAGAGGACAGTTGCAATGGCCTGAGATAAATGTAGTCTTAGCTCAAAGTTGTAGTATTTGAATGCAATGTATCTTTGATGGTGATTATAATGCACTCATTCAAATATATAACATACAAATAAGGCATATATATATATATATATATATATATATATATATATATATATATAATAGCACATGCCTGAGTATATAATCAAATACCTTGGTAACATAATATATCCTGGAAATATACAATACTGTATGTCTATTCACACACACACACACACACACACACACACACACACACACACACACACATTTTCCCATAGTTTTCTACTGCAAAACCAAAATGTGTTGACTAGATAATGCAAAGGTAAGCTACCCTCCTAATTCTTTTTAAATAATACATATAGTTATAGAACTAAATAGAGCTATGACAGACCCATCCTCCAATTCCTTGCATGTTTCTATGAGGCTGAAGACTAAGCTCTATAGTGCACATGTGTGTATCTGTGTGTGCTTTGACCCTACTAGCTAAACTTTTTAATTTGTCTTTCCTTTTTAACTCTTAAAATCTTCTTGTTGTTAGTATCTGGTATTATTTCACATTTCTTCTGGTAAGTAATTTTAGCCTGCTGCTCTCTTATCTGAACAAAATAAAGTACGTTTTCATAAGCTGAAGGTACACAGTATTACATTTTGCATGAGCTTTCTTGTAACCATGACATAGCTTTTCTTGAGCTTGTATATGCAATAATTAAGAAAGCATGTATGAACTGTTTTGATACTTTTGCACATTTTCCTTGTCTTGGTGTTTCCACAATAGAGATTCAATAAAGCAGCGATGGTTTTCTCATTCCCCTATCATTTGACACACAGGTAACTGATATATTTCATTTTTAATTTATATGTATATATATATATATTTTCATTGTACTGTGTACATTATTTATAATTAGTCTCATAGTATCTTATTCCCTCCTAATTTAGTTAAAATAAATGGAAGTGAATTGCACAGTCCTTTTACTATATGCTCCTTAAGATATTTTTAAATGAACACTTCAGTGTTAAATTATTCTCCCATTTTTTCTCTTCATTTTTATTGTTACTGTCATTATTAAGAAACACAAATACTTTTTTTTTATTTTTGGCAAGAATCAAGCCCTATAATTGTACTTTTTAATTAAAAAGAATGAAATATTCATGAAGTACAACAAAAGAGATTAGTTTTCTTTTCTACTCATTCTCTGAGTTGATGCATCAATCTTCCATGTCCTCACAGAGATGCATCATTAACTTTCTAAAACAAACAAACAAACAAAAAGGACCACTTGCTTCCAGTTTCATTTACTTACCTTTCAAAATAACAGTACAGTAATTCTGCTGATCAAATCATTTTGTTCAGTTTACTGCCTATCTAAACATCATTATTGGGGAGTCAATAGATCTGGAAATTAGTGCTAACAGAGAAGGATGTAGAATTCTAAATACTTGTAGTCTTTATTGGTGTCTTTTAATTATGACTACCTAGTCAACACTGTTTCCTACTTGGCACTTCTGATCTCTCTCTGAATTACAAAAAGAAATATAAATAGGGCCACAAAATATTCATAGAGTTCTAAAAGTGAGACAATGATCTATTTTTGGTTTGTCCACAGACAAATTTCTTTTACATAAATGGCTTTTTTTACAAAATTGAAATGTGAATATATTTTTATTTTTCCCAGTGAATACACAATACACAATTTTTTGACAATACTATGAATCAATTTATGCCAATTTCTTTGCTGATCTAACAATATCAAATGAAACACAATAAGGTTTGGGATATTGTTTGTTGACTCAAATAAACTACAATGAAAAAAATCCATCTATAAAACAAAGTATAAAAAGTCTACCCACGGCCACAAAATCCCTTGTCTTGTAACACTTTAAAATCACAATGAACATTTTTAAAATTATGAGAGTAAAAAATATTTGTAAATTGCATGTCATTTAAAAAATGTATGGTGTTTCATTTGAAGTACGCATTATGACAAAGCAAAGTAAAAAATCATTTCACCTCTCAGGTAATGTGTAAAGACAGGTTCATTTTTTTTTTTTGCACAATATACAGAAGTAGATGAATAAACTAACAGTAGTGAATGTTATGTTTCTGCATATCTTCAATACTGACAAGATCACTTCTCAGGGGAAGTGATCTGCAGTTGGGAGCTCATTGATGTGGTAATTGTATTGTCATCAATGAAAATTGCATAATTTCATTAAGTAGAACTTGGTTGTATTCCATGAAATCACATACAAACTTGCAACTTAAATCCCATTAAAAATGTATTTAAATATGTAGAGCATTATACTATAACATAGAATATACTAAATCTGTTTTCTTAGTCAGAGTAAGTAAATTTGGAAGGTTTTACTTCACTTTGGTTGTGTGATGCCTTACCCATTGGTCTTGACTTTCCTATATACTTCCTTGAGCTGCTCCAAATCCTATGATGGAGTTCATTGTTTCCATAGTTCTGTCCTCACCTAAGTTACTTTTGTAAAATGACATGAAAAGGGTAGGCAGACTCTACTGCTTATACTTGCATACCTGAGTTTGGGTACTGATATTGCATTCCCTAAGGAGACTTTGCCTGTTCTGAAAGAAGCTGTGCTTGGGTCTGGCCTGACTACACAGCAGTATTGCTGATGATCAAAAAATGAGGTTTCATTCCCACCCAGATTTCCTTCTGATGGCTTATGCAGGTTTCTGTTCAGACTCACAGAAAAGTGAGCTCAGTAGATTTCCCATCACATTCAATCAGCTACAAAAGGGGAAGACATGGGACTCTCAGGAGGTATGTGTTCCTCAGTCGACAATCCGAATGTTAACGGTGAATGGATTTGTATAAATACCTAGATGATGAAGGTTTTCTGTTGTTGATAGTATGCCTGAATTCAAATCACCATAGCATGTTATCTTGTCTTCATGGCAGATATTGGGTACAAGATTTTGTAGTAATCACGGTCTGTAATCTGTATGGATCACAATCTAACTGCTTATGATTCTATACTGAAGGCAATTGGGACGATATGGTGCTATAATCCCAAATCATTCTTCAAGTTATCATGTGATCTGCAGATATCATTTCTTGTGACTTGGGTTGATAATAATCTGCAAATGTCAGTTACCATACATATGATATACTATTTTACACTAAATTATATTATTCATGAACATAAAGTGATAATTGAACTAAATATATTTCTTAAAAGGTCTTATGCTTTTAAATAGAGGACATGGAATAAGGAACTGTGTAAATGCAAAATTAAATTCATCGCATCTTGGAATTGACAATAATTACATAATCCATTTTGTTTTTCACAGAAACTGTTCAACTTTTCCCATTTCCTTGTACCAGAGACATCAAATTTCAGTAAAACTCAGGCACTGATGCTAAGAAGTTGTTAAACGGTGTGTCAGAATTTTTTGTCCCTTCAGTGAAGAAAGTTAACTATATGGCACTAAGAAAATTTTGAGACCCATGAATAACATCACACTCTATGCTTGCCTGTGGTACAGTAGCCTTGGAACCATGTACTAATGTATTTTATATAATAAGGTCATAAAAGTTGGCATCTGAGCCAATAATACACAGTGTGTTATGTCAATCAAAATGTCCGCTACTTGAAAATTGAATATTTTGACCATCACATTGAATATTTTTCAAGATACCATCTATTGAACATATCATAAGAAAAAGATAATACAAAATATTGTTTGGACTAGAATTTAAGATTGTGTAGATAGCACATGGGAAAATGTCATCAGTGGTAATTTCAGGAAGGCTATCATCTACTTGACTTACATACATGTACAGTATCTAACATACATTTCAAAGTCACATTTATCTTGAGCATACATAATTGATGTCCAGAAACTCCTTGTTCTCAAGGTCGTTAAAACAAATGAGGCAGGACACTGTTATTAATGTCCACTTACAAGATTTGGTTTTATTTAAAAAGTGTATAAACATGCATTTTTCTCCCTTTGACTGTTCTTTCCAATTTACTCATTCAAAATGGGTCAAACAGATTTTCGTTGGTAGCCAATTTCTGAGAATGTACCAGAAAATATTTAGTCCAATATATCTACTAATTGTAAACTGAACATACTGTGAGCACTGCCTTTAAGCACTTACAACTTGGCTATACATTTGGTGGCATCAATTTCACTTTTTAATCAAATGAAACACAAAATTGTATGTAGAATGCATTAGGTTTTTTTTTTAAGTAATGAACTTAAGTGATGTGGCTACATCCTCTAGTATGTACTGTACATGTATTAGAAAGATGAGCAAGATATCGCAATATTCAAGAGTAGCCCGAGTATGCCCTAATAATAAGTTGCTTCTTTAACTATTTGCTAGATTTCTAGAGTTCATTTTCTTTGTTTCCTTGGGGAACTTCATTTTATACTCTGACTTAATGAGTTGGAAAGATTAATTATGGTAATTCAAAAATGCTGTTTTTTAAAAGCTGTAATATAAATACAGATCTCTTCAAACAACCTTGATTTCATTTTTCTCATTGTAATTCTCAGTTGGGTCAATTACAATGGCAAGTAAAGTTGCTTCTAAATAAAATTTTAATTATATTTTTAAAGCAAGTTAGTACATCTTTGCTACCAGCATACGTTAACCCATATTCTGTGTAGACTTAAGCTTCCTTCTTTTGACCCCTGCTTTTTTCAATAGTAAAAGCCATCTTTCTGCTTCTTAAAATGACTTAATATCTGATTTTTCAAGAAGACTTTGCCAACACCATCATTCCTTCCAATCTTCCTATTTCTACACCCCCAAATGAAAACCATCTCACAGGATTGGTTACACCAGCATTACTCAACCTAACTTACAGTACAGAAAACTCCCTTCACATTCAATCTTTTCTTCATGTCATGAGGAGTAGAGATTTGTGCTTATCACCAAATAAAATTGCAGTGCAAAATTTAAACATAAAAAGTTACACAATTAAAAGTTAATATATGGCACCACAGCCCATTAATTCACATATAGTACAACAGACCAATAAGGACAGACAATAATATGAACAGAGCTAAAAAGAGTGAGCTTGCATAGCAATGCAAAAAAAGAAATTATATACAGAGGAAAATCCTTTTTTTTCCTGGAGGGTGAGTTTACGTTCTTTCTTTTTCTTATATACTCCTGACAAGAAAGAGTTAAGGTAGGTGGTGTAATTAAGAGGAGAACACAAGAAAATAACTGTGGGATATGTGTGGCTGTGTGTTTTTACATTGCATTTACAGTTTTGTTAATAGTACATAAATAAAGAAATTGTTCATTGCACTGTTAAATGTTATCACTTCCATGAGTTCAGACCTGATGGTCTTCAGAGCATCTTTGTATGTCCCCTCTCAGTTACTCTGAAAAACAAACAAAAAAATCATAAATATAACGTTCTAATATGTTCAATAGTCTTCTATCCCAACTAGTGATAAAAATCAAAGCAATCAGAGAATAACTAAAGATTTTTAGCTAAGTATTGCATTTATGAGTTAAAGTCACTTCCTTTGAAGATTGACAGGGGACAGGGAAGTACCAGGAAGCTTGAAGATTTGTGATGCACATGGAGGTTTTCTTGCAGTACGTATCAGACTGCAGATATCATAAAGCAAGTTAAAAAACAATCCATGCATATGTGAGTCAAAACAAAAGCTATAAAGGAACCAGGAACCATGATAACAAACTTGGAATTAGCTGGTGTCATAACTCAGATTCCTACTTCACAGTTGTTTTATCAGGTTTTGCTTGCATCCCGGGATGAACTATCTCCCAACCTGATGCAAAACTACTAGAAAACCAATATTTCACCTGAGGAAGAAGTCAGTTTAGAAAGAATTTATGTTCTTTTTATTTTTAAGAATAAAGTAGAGACCAACTCAAGTAATGGGAACTGCTAAAAAGGTTCATGAAATCTACCAAGAGGAGTAAGATCATCTCAGTGCTAAAAAGTAGACATGACAGTCAGCTCCCATCACAATAAACAAACACAATACCAAGTGGGCAATTTGCTTCCTTTCCTTTATTGTATTCCAAATTGTACTCAAAAAGGGCAAAGCAGCCCCTGCCAAGTGGATTATATTTAACTTGTAAGTATTAAGATTAATTATCAGCATTAAAAACAAAAGGTATACAGTTTAAATAAACTTGAACTATCAATGAAATGTTTGCATCACTGACTACTACTGTAAACAGTTATTCTTGAATGTATTGCCAATCCTGAAGGAAATAATGGAATTTGGTTATTTTTTTATTTAGCAGAGGAAATTTTCTATCATTCAGAAATTTGTTTAATGTAGCGATTCCATCAGGCCAATATTCTTCCCAGATTATAATGGCCTTTAAAATAACCCCAAAGACTTACACAATTCACCTGTAAACTGTCCTTGACTATTTGAGCCCACATATCCAATGTCCAGAAGGTCACTGGCATTCCGCTGGTGGCCGCCCCTCAATACTTCGGCCTTCCGAGGGCCAGTAGACCCTTTAGAGGAGGATGTTCCCGAAGAGCTGTGCCCACCTGGAGATGGGAAGCTGGGCTTGCTGTAGGGGACCAAGGACTCCTCTAAAAAAGAAAACAAAGCATAAGAGACTAAATTGAACTATTACATGGGGCCAAACACAAACCCAATCATTTTTTCATTTTTGAGCAAAATTAAAATTATGAAGTTTAATCAGTCCCAGATAGTAAACGTATTTCCACATACAGGCAACATTTCCTACAACAGACACTGAAAGGGGTTAAATTAAAAGATCTTGGGATAAGTTCAGAACAGTGTTTTCAAGGTTTAAATTCATTGCAATAGAACATTGCTTAAAAGAGCCCTTGTTTTGCCTAACAAAAATAATAACTGAGAACAATTTCTGGAGTTCAGTGAAGCCCAATTTAATTTTTCCCAGTAAGACTGGAAAAAGATGGGTTTTGTTTTAGTTTAAATTATGGCAATATTCTCTCAATCAGTTGAGAAATGGAACTATGTATTAGTGACTTAAAACAGCATCTTAAATTTCTGTTTATTTCTTGAGCCAGAAATCCATTGTTTGAAAGGTTCTATGTTTCATTAAAAGAGAACAAAACATTAATTATAATATATTAATGCTCTTTTTAGATATTGACTCTCCAAAAATAAATTAGGTGTTACAATCAGTATGTTGATGCTTAGAACTCCTCTTCTCATTATTCCAATCATTTCCCATTTCCCATCCCTTCCAATCCCACTGTTATTTCTTTGAGTTTTCTGGGTATATGTCATTATTAAGTGAATGAAAACTGCTGGTTGAATTTACCAGTTCACCGCTTAGCTAGTCTCTAATAAGAAGGGGCAGGTAGTATTTCTTTTACAGATGGTAACCTTCTAAAATGTTTCATTAAATCTAAATATTGCAATTGTCATTTTCTGGCCCTTTCACCAAAGAACTTTCCAAGACTTGAGCATCACATGATGACAAAATATAATTATGGAAAATGCATGGGCAAACACATACTTAGACAAGACTGAGTACAAATTAATATTGAATAGCTAAAGGGATGCTTTTTTTGAAGTGTGTGTTTGTGTGTTCATTCCTAGTAGATACTAAGCACAGTGGATGCTCCCCCCAAACATATATTTGTGTAACAAATTTACCTCCCCCCAAATAATATCCATGCAGTAATTATGAGGTTTATGATGTGTGAAACATTCAGGAATTTTTTTTTCTCATAAGCAAGACTCTTCCCATCCAGATGTTAACACTGAACTTCATTTAGTCTGTTGGAGAGTGTATGAGTTTGGTTCCACCTTTTCTGACTTTATGATACCTGATGGGGCAGCTACTTGCAGTGCTGTGAGCTGAGTTAAATCTCCATTTTGAAACATGAGCTCCCTCTCAAATGAATGACTACCTCAATCAATCAGTTGAAGGTAGAGATGAAGTTGACCCAAAAGAAGAAATTTAGTGTTCTTAAAACTACTCACTATAGACATTAAAGGATATCAACATTAAACTATTTTCTGAGCACTCCACATGAAACCTGGAGCTTTCTAAGTTCAAAGACCTTATACAGGGTTAACTTGTGTAATACGCCCCACTGAATGTGTGCTGTTAAGCTCTGCTGAAGAACCAGTTTGAACAGATTTAAGGCAAATGTGTTCCAGATGCCATTCCTAAAGTACCTGGTAGGGGGAGAAAGTGGTAACAGTCACACTTTCTTGGGACTGTGCAGCACACACCTGATCCAACCCCTTGTTTGTGTGGGGCTTTCCGTGTATCTTCTTGGCGGTCTGTAGAGTTTATCCAGTCCTGGGTTGGACGCTGCCACTCTAGGGCGGTTTTAGCTGGACAATCCAGTGAGCTCTTTGTGTCTTCTAAGTTGGCAGCCTGTTGTCTCTCTAGGGAGCTTCCTTTTCTCTCTGTTGAATTTTCCACGTGACCAGAATGCTGGCTCAGGCCTATCTGCTGTCTTAAACCCTGACTTGGTGGGGGATCTGGTGCTGGGGGAAGATCTAAAAATTTTGAATAATGTTTAGAAAGAACTATGATTTAATGAAAATACAAGTTTAAGTTCAAGTTGAAAAATGGAAAAAAAATCCAAAAACAAAAACCCCTTGCCCTCTTACAAGTATTAATCATGCAAAGATATTTATGGAAAATAAAAGTCAATTAATGGCTATTCAAAATGCATGCTATTGATCTATCTTCTATCTTCTTGCCATAGCATCTTCGAGATAAAAATTGATCCTTTTCATCCTTTCATCAACTCATTCACGTGTTCAACAGGGAACATATTTTCAACAACATACTATGGGCTAACATTCAAAGTAAAGGATGGTTTGTGGTTTACATTCAATTTCCCTCTCTTCAAGACAGAAATACTATGAGGGAAAAATCACTATAGATTCTAACAGCTGTCCTAGTAAAAGTCCCTGAGCAAAAAAAGCTCTTTGAATAAACTCCACTGGAAAGATCATGCTCCAGAAGTTAGGGACTACAGGCTGTATCATATGCAGCCTATGACTGCCTCTGAGCAAGTGTGTGCCATGTTGAGCAAGAGTCAAAGGGTTAAACTAACTTTATTAAATGCAATTAACATTCTGCCTAACAACTGATCCTGCCTGTTCGTTTCATGAGTTAGCTAATGAGTTACAACTAATACACTCTAATCTTCCCTTGTATTAATTTTAATAAGTAATAACTGATATTCAGAGCACAGATTGAATATGCTAAATGGTGAGTAGGGTAGACAATGTATTGTAGAAATTAGTGATGGAGTGGAAAAGATAAGTTTTTGAAAGAACTTTTTAGAGGAGTTTGGATATACCCAGGGTTGTTTGACTGTACACTGAAAGAGCTTTTAAATTAAACTTTGGAAATGAAGAAAAACTAAAAGTTGAGTATGAGCTAATTTTTCATTTTCCTTTGCTATCTCTTCAGATTTTCATCTTTATATTTTGAATGTTTTCAATTATAAAATTACATTTCTCTTTATATCTTTCTAGTATTATGTCTGAAATGACATGATTAAGGATTTTGAAATCTTTTAAACATTCATTTGTATCTGGATCTTCCTATTTTTCTTATATACTATTGTAAATTTCTTGGCTCAATTTAAGATTAGGCAATTATGTTGCTTATTTATAAAACTTATATATCATACAATATACAGTTATTACATGAATAAATGATATTCCACTTAGTGTGAGCCATTATTTTTCATTCCTTTTTTTTCATAAATACGTTTTTGCTTCTAATGATACTTTATGAAATCAAAATGGTAAAACCAAATGCCTTATACACAAGAAGCCCCTCTCTTAAAAAGTGCTCAAATGTCCACTCCAAGGCCTTCTTTAAAAGCTTTACTCTGTTTTATGAGAAAACTTTAGTATCTTCCATTGGAAAGATAATAATGGTTTATTGAGCATTTGTTCTTGAGGTTTGAAGATTAAGTAGCATTCTCAGCTCTCATGAATGTCTTCATGTCAGATTACAAGCTACTAATAATTAATGAGAAAAGGGATGCTGTCTGGGTGAATAGAATTGCATTTTGAACATTTCTTCCAAAATGAAGAGCTAATGCAATAATGCACTATCTGTTTGCATGATAAACTAATGAGTTTTGTGTTTCCTTTACATTCAATACTAGCTTCCTTTGCTGTATGTTATTATGAATGCAAATTAATTATTTCATTTGAGTTATTAGACTTAGTCTGTCACTGAGGGGAAAGGATTGTATTGGCTTCTAAAATAACATATCTTGTCATTGATTTTTATTCTCCATCTGAGCTGTTTAATTTCTAAAATGGCCAAAATGGCATTTGCTTATGGCAGCTAAAATTCTGATGCCTATTTAATTTGACTTGAAATTATAGAGCTTTGTAATTATATAATATCCTTGGAGATTTTATCTTCTAAGAATAAAGGACATTGCATGCACATTGAAATAAACTGGAAAGAGATGGAATTACAGATGATTGTGAAAAAATAAAGGTATATAATACAATACATTTACTTAAATTAAATTCATTATTCAATTCTTTGTGGAATTATTTCAAGTAAGTCAATTCACTAGAGTATCTCGCTGGCCCACTGTGGGTTAGCTATTGTCAAGCAATGACAGTCCAATGACATAGGTACCTTATTATTCTCATTTATTTTTCAGGTAAATGGATGGGGGTGGAACACAAAGAAATCAAGCATCTCCAGCCTTAATCTCTCTTTTCATAAGATCCAACTCGTGAAATTGCGTTCATAGGGTACAGCTCAGCTCAGATGTCTGCAAAGTACCTCAAACTTAATACTTCAACACAGCTTTGCATCATCCAAACATAAAGACATAGGTTTCTGCTAGTGCGTTTCTCCTCTCAGTCAGTTACAGTTCCATTCTGCTCATTCCCCAAACCATGAAATAGTCTTTGAATCCCCTTCTACTCAAAATGGTGGCCTATATTATTTTATATTTACAAATCCCATTAGTTCCATCTCCAATATCTTACCTTTTTTATGCTTTCACTGATCTCATCTTGGCATGAACCGCCCTTAGTTACTGCTTCTATGGTCTCTAATTATCTCTAGTTTTACACTTTTGGGCCATTTAATTCTTTGCTATACAAAATTCAGACTGACTTTTTAATATTAAAATATATATTATCTTTTTATATTAAAAACATAAAATTATGCCACCATCTTACCTTAAATATATAAACATGCATTTATGGGGACACACACACACACACACACACACACACACACACACACACAAACACACACACACACACACACACAACCTTCCAGGAATTTCCCATTGAAAATATTATAAAAATCCATGAAAGTTCCTAAACAAACAGGTCCTTAAACATTGCCCCTTGCTCGCATACCTGGCATCAAATTCTTTCTTATTTGCTCCAGTTATACTACTTGCCTTCCTTAAAAATATAATCAAATACGCACCAGGATTTCAATTGCTGTATCAACTTCTAAGGAGGACCTTTCCTTGAATATAAGCATTGTTCTTTTCCTGATATTTTTCCTGTCTTTTCTCATATGTCAAGCTGTTGTTGAGGCTTTCCCCAAAGACCCCCTATATTAAAATACTTCCCCCTAAAAACTTCACAATTTCCTGTTGTTTCTTTCTCCATGGCAACAGCCACCATTTACACACTTCATACATTTATATTGGTCTGACCCTCTGTTTGTTAGTTTTACTAGATATAAGGTGAGGGAGATTAAGGAATCATATCTATAATATATGCTCACTAAATGTTTAAATGGAAGGACCAATGAGCTCATTTATATGCAGAAAGCCACATTGTGGCAGATACAGGGAAGAACTCTTTTTCTTTTTTTTTTTAATTTTTTTTTTATTTTGCAATACAATTCAGTTCTACATATCAGCCACGGATTCCCTTGTTCTCCCACCTCCCGCCCCCCTCACCTTCCCCCCAGTCCACCCCCCATTCCCACCTCCTCCAGGGCAAAGCCTCCCCCGCAGACTGAGATCAACCTGGTAGACTCAGTCCAGGTAGGTCTTACCTGGGAATTGAAGACTAGGGGAAAGACAGAACAGTTTGAGAGAAAATAATCTCAGGAGAACACATTGATGGGGAACCAACCATCTACCATCATTGGGCCAGAATTGGTCAGGATATTTCCTTCAAGCGACAGAAGACTTATATGCAACAACCCTTGCTTAGAAGAGACATTCCACAAGAGAAACAAGCATGTCCATAACTGTGTATGGGCTTTTACATAGCCTTTGGGACAGAAACTGACATTTCTTATTATTCCAAATTCCTCTCACTGGACCCAGAGAAAATGACTTCCTTTCCTCAGAAGGTAATTTGACACAGGGAGACAGCAATCTTGACAATGACATATGAATAGTGGGATGTGCCTCTTGCTATTAGGACATTCTACTATCAACAACAATCTGTCATTCTATCTTCAAAATCCACAAAGTCCAACTCTAAAATTGGTATTACTGAAGACTGGAGAGATGGGTGAGTGGGTAATATGCCTGCTCTGTATGAAGAGCTTATTTCAGTCCTCCAGTATCCATATTAAAAAAAAAAAAAAAAGCCAGGTGCTATGATGGGCTCCCAGTGCTGGGGAGGAACAGACAAGAGTATCCTCGGAGCTTGCTAGCCAACCAGTATGGACAAGGTTTGAACTCCAAAAACAGTGAACTACCCTATCTCGAAAAGAAAAAAACATAGAGTTGTTTAAAAAGATATCCATCATTAGCTTCTACTTTAAACATGCATGCGGCAAGCTCATATCCCTCAAAATATACACATGAACATAAACACACACACACACACACACACACACACACACACACACACACACACACACACACGCACGCACACACACACACACACACACACAGAGGGAGAGAGAGAGAGAGGTGATATCTCAGTCTCTCCAAATCCTAAAGCCTATGTAACTGTTTAAAGGAAAGTCACTTGACCTTGAAAGATAACTGTGTCAATGAGAATAAGATTGTTATTGTGCTAAGATGCTGAAGGTTAAATATTTGAGAAAACAGCCAACAATAATTACCTCAATTTATGTGCTCATAAAGACTATTATAAAATCTATAATTCAAAAGTTTCAGTGTGAAACGCTTATACAGTAAATGCTACTAAGCAATGACCTTCTGCAACAGAATGATTTGATCAGAAATACTTATTAATTTTGGGATTTAAAATGAGCATATCAGTGAAAGAAGTTCATATGTTGAGAGAATGAGATCAATGTGACACACAAAGCGATCAACAAATCCCCCAGAGAATCAGAAACAGAAAGGAAATGGTGATCGTTTTTTTGTTTGTACATCTTGGGACAGCAAATCACACACATGTGATTACAGCTGTGTTCTTAACTTTCATATTCCAGGACAACACTTCCCCAAGAAACACAGTGAGGCATTGAAACAGACACGCTTGGTGTTCTAAGTCTTAGCATGATAAGATTCAAAGAAAGTATAGTGGTGGCTGCTGGTTTCCTCGCCCACAACCATAAAGAACAAAACCATTATTCTTTTCAGGCTAAGGTTTAACCCCATACTTGTAAGTCTGAGGCCTAATGACTGGGTCTGGTTAGTGTGGGATAACCAATCTAGGGCTTCATGCTCATGCTAGGCAAGCATTCTACAAACTGAGCCATCCCACAGTTACATTTTAAAATTTATTTTTCGGTAGGTAAACTCACTCAACAAGGAGAGGATTTAGAACATAAAACCCCTGCTCCACAAAGCCAAAAGTATTTACTATTTACACATTAACAGAAAACAAAACAAATATTGAGCCTTTATTATGGGTGGAATCATTATCCTCTAAAATTCATATATTGAAGTTAATCCTATTATTTGTTGGTATGGTATTAGGAATTGAGACCTCTGTGAGGTCGTTTGATATGAAGTTGGCTCAGGGCCCTTATCAAAAACACCAGAGAGGCTCCTTCTTTCATGTGAGGTCACAATGAGAAGGCATCATCTACAACCATAAAAGAGTCTCTCAACTGGCACCAACAGTTGGACATTCCAGACTTGAAAACTGAGAAACAAATTTCCATTTTTCATCTTTTCTACTATTTATGAGATTGTGATCACATACTGCAGCACCACCACCAAAGAAAGTCTTCATATCCATGGCCTATGGCTGCCTTCTAGTCCTGAAACTGATGAACCCCAAACCTTAGTAAATCACTCCACAGACTGATCTAAAGGAAAAGGAGGCCCCAAAAGAGACTAATGTAGGATTGTAGGTGTCCTGATCCAGTAACAATGTACATGCTGCTGACAGTCTCCTTCCTACACTTAAAAATGAGATGCTGGAAATTTCCAGAAGTGCTGAAACTTTGAAAAGGAGCATTCTAGATCTTTCTTGAGGCATGATAAAAGTAATAATAATAATGATAATAATAATAATAATAATAATAATAATAATAATAATAATAATAATAGATTCCACATGATTGTAAAAGAGTGTGTTTTATTTAAACACGGCATGTTGCCAAGTGGTTCCTATAGTGGCAACACCTAAGTTACAATAGCTTCTTTGCTGAAAGTTAATGATAACATCAAGCACACTTCTTCATGAGGAAATGAAACTTAAGACAAGAAACCTACCATCTGGCATCCCTTCTCTCCGATGAGGTAACACTGGCTGTGTGTCCATCCGCCCTCCCTTATGTTTTTTGGTGGGCCGAGGCCGCTGGCTTGGATTCAGGGCAGCGCTGGTGTTACTGTCGGTAGAAAATGGGCTGGTGGGCCGCGGCCTTTGAGAGGAGGTAAAGGCTTTTCCTGAAACGAAAACCAAGGGAGTGGACATAGAGAACTCTACTATAACACTCTATTTTTGTCTTGCCTTGTGTCTCTGCTCTTACTAGACTACCTAGTGAATGTACCTACAGATGTTCAAAGACACAAAACCCACAACTTATCTGCACAAGATGCATGAACTGCTGCTTATAATTCATCCAATTGTTAATAAGCTAAGAACACCCTACCCAACAAAAACACACTTCAAGCAAATGAACCTGAAATAAATCCACCAACGAAAAGCTTCACATTGCTTGATCATAGTTTTATGTAATCTTAACAATCTTCATAATATTTTCTAAAAACTGCATGCCACATTTACTTCTCAAAATAAGAAAGAGGGTTTTTTTAAATTAATTGTCGACTGTTTTATTTGATTAGTCATGTTTTACTCTTAGCATCTTAAACACTGTCTTAGAATTACAATTGAAATTTTACATGAAGGGTCTGTTGAGATGTATGTGTAACCTTACCACTTAATGTTCATACACAATGACTTCTACCTCTTTTAGCAGAATTAAATAAGATCAATGTAGAAGCTAGCAAGTTATAGTCTTGGTGTCTATCCAAAATGTGATAGCTGTATTCTGAGCATATTATTATATCTAAACAGACCCTACACTTTAATTTTTAAATGAATTGCACTATTTTCTTTTTGATAGTTTAGAATATATGAATGCAATTTTTCTGGGAAAAAGGTCAGCTAATATATTTTCTACAACAAATTATTTTAGTACTGAGTATATTATATAAGAGAGGACTGGTTTATGTGCACATATTTATTCTCTTGTGCATATTTTCATTTTTATAACATTATCATGTGTAGTCGCACTGTCCTAAGTCATTGTGACTTGATATTGCTTAATGCTTTATTAGCGATTAGCATACATGCTGCTAGTGCACTAATGCCTTCTAATTTATTAGCTCCCTGGCACCTTCTCTCTTCTCTCCCTATAGCAAATGCCACAAAAAGCACTCAGGCAACATAAAGATTCTGACATACCTTATGAAGCAAGAAAATCCAAATAACAGTTATATTGCGACCTATTTTAGTTTGGATGCTATATAAAAATAAACCTTTGCAATGCCTAAGAAATTCTCCCATTTTGTTTGAAGAATGCTTAATGCACACTTGAAAGAAATATTGACGGTAAAACTTAAAGACAATGTCCACGACATAATTTTATGACCTGAAAGTGTAGCAAAGGTTCAAAGTAATTTTTCTTTACTATTTGAGCACCATTAAATTTAAGAGTGCATTTGATATTTCTTGAGTTTATTTTGTTAAGGCAGCATAGGAAATGCACATATTATATTCCTAGTATGCAGCTTAGAAGTATATATATGTGTTTAAGGGCTGTTTTTCAAAAAAACTCATGGTTACAAATTACTGATAAATTACCAGAGTTAATCTTACATAACTCCCCCCCCCCCCACCGGCATGAGACACACCTAACAATTATATAATTTGACTTTGATGCTATTATTTATTGCTCTTTGAAATCAAAAAGAATTTTCATAAAAGAGCGATACACATGTACATATTATCTTATTGAACTCACAAATGCATTGGGTGTATCTTTAGTTAGCATCCTCTAAAACAAATAATAAATTACTGTATTAAAATCTTAGTCAAACAATTAGGACCATCAGCCAAGTGAACTATTAGATAGTAGTCTTAGACCCTTCACCCCATGCTGAGGAAGCCTTCCCAGAAAGTGCCTCTGTAGAAGGAAATGGGGCAAGGTAACGTAGTGGAGATAAAAGCAGAATAATTTTAATCACCAGGTTTGTTATTGATTTTGTGAGGACTTTGCAATGTGTGAGTTACTGAAAGTTTAATGACAATCTTAGTTTTGGCTTTGTTGTAATATGAAAAGGAAGCACACTGCAATTAGCCAGCAGAGCCGTGAAGAGAAAGGATGGATGAGATGCAACGTAGTGAGTAGGAGCTTATTTTTGGCTCTGCAATATTAGCATCAAAGGAGAATTCTGGTAACATAGCATCCATCCAACTGTGTTCATGCATATTTTAAAAAGGCCGTGGTTAGATTCACTGAGAAGAACAGAAGGAAAGGTCAGTGTCCAGAAGACAGGATTCTCTCATGCAAAGAGTGTTGACTTGGAGTCTACCAACCTGTTCTTGTAAGACTGGTTCCATCCAGCCTAAAACCAGCTTTATCTGCTGCTGCCACCAAGGCTTGTGCAAAGCTGACGCTGGCAAAGATGGAGCCATCTGAGGAGCTACCTACACTAGATCTATGACTAGAAAAGTTACGATCCTCATCAGATGCAGAGCCCCATCCATTTACCATTGAACCTAAAAACAAATGTAGTGGTCCAGTAAGTTGGATATATCAGATAGTTCATCTGCTGTAACACAGTGTATAATGAGCAAGCTGGCTATTTCATTTCCTCACCGCTCCTTTAAAGTTTCATTGTGAGTTCTTTACCCCCACTATCATCCATGTCTCCCACATTCTAAGTACTGAAGAACGAAGGTCATTTAAAATCTGTATCTGTTTGTAGCCCATTGACAAAACACAATCAAATAAGTTCAATGCTTACATTGATTAAATTATCACATGATCATTTCTTCATAAGGATTGCTATGTATATCTAACTTCCTATGCATCAAGAAAGAACAGTCTGACTGAAACAACTTAGTGGATTGCATCAGAAGAAATAGGTTGAAAAAAGTAGTGTGAATATAATTTAAAGTTAGTTCAGACTCCATCAACTATAGCAAGAATTTAAAATAAAAGTTACCCCTAAAAATAATAAAAACTCATACACAAAGTATCTAAACAATGTCAAATCAATATAGAACATAAGGAAAATTATGTTTTACTCAATTTCTATTTATGACAATGTTTGTTATGTATTCTTTAATTTTTAATTATCTTAATAACTCCAGTTTCTTTCGAATGATAATAGTTCCTTTAAAAAATAATCATAAGAATGTCATGAACATTAGTGTTGGTTTTTCTGCAAAATGAAACACAGTGTTAGTGGAAAAATTGCGACTTTATGTGTTAATAATATTAAGTACTTTGAAGATACTACAAGTAACATTTTCTTAAGGTTCTAGAAAAAAGTCAGTTTTCATTTTGTTTCCTCAAATAAAATCACAGTGGGAATTTAACCAACTATTTACTGTAATTAATATGATATTTATTTAAGTTGTTATACAATTAGTTCATAACACAATAAACTACCAAGTAGTGCTTACCCTAATATATTTAGAAAGAAACACAAACATGTGTTTATAAAATCCATGTTAGGTTTTCTAATGGACACAATAATATTTACAACAAATTGGTAAAATCTAATATTGTAGTGTTTTTCTTTTTTCTCCTCTTTTCAGGACAATAGTGTAGTTAAGAGCTTGAAGTACTTGAATTGTTAATGAAAGGGCCCAGCAACAGAGCACACCCATTTTCAACAGAGAGAAAACAGAACTGGAAAGGTGTAAAATAATCTGAGAAGTTAAAATAGTGTTAGGTGGAGCAGAGTAAGACATCTTGGGCAAAAGCACCCAGACATACTGGTTACATTCCAAGCAAATCCCCTGCAGCAGGCCACTGTAAGGAAGCTAAGATAACACCAGCAACTCAGCCTCCTCTGAAAGATTCATTTCTGGGCAGAGGATCATTGTCAAGGACCACTAGGCCACAAGCGAAGAAGGAACTATGCAAAGGACTGTGTGGTGTAATGCCATAGGAGATAAGGAAAAATTCCACAGTTGGTCAGTGAGGGGTCACCAAAGACTGTGGAATCACAGCTGAGAGTAGGCTTACAGAATCTGAGACCTCACATCTGTCCCTTCCTGAGGATATTGCTTTCACTGTCAAAATAGGTATGACCTTATTCTCTCACTCACATTTCATCTTTTAACTCTCTCCAACTGATACCTCCTGTTTTCCTTATGGTTGTCTAAATGGTCTTTCTCAAGAACTTACCCACTTTGATGTCTCAGTTGAAAGATCTCTAGACTACCTACATCAGAGCCATATCCTTACTAGGCTTCTGAGTCACTGGGTCCTTTGAACATGGAGTCCTGCCTATCTCTGCACTGTCTGTAGTCATACATTTCCCTCCGCCACTTAAGGATACCTCAGCATTGCTGCCACCTCTATTTTCCAGTGCCTAAGTGAAACACTAGCCCTTGGGTGACCTGGTTCTGTTCCATCTTCAGGCTTGTATTAGAATCAGTCCCAGCTCCTTGGTTGCCTAAGTACCATGCATATAAGTGTGCATTGGTGCCTCCCTTGATGGTTGCTGTTGCATAGACATTCACTAGGAAGCAGAGTTTTAGAGATAAAGAGCTACCTGTTATTCATTCCCATATATGTTATACAGAGATATTGAAGATCAGAAATTCAATAAAGATGGACATATTGCATAAAATGCATTGGGCATTTTCATTCTTCATGGTAAATTCCATGCGTGAGTCAATGTGATGTATAATGTCTTCTTTTTTGTTTGTTTATTTGTTTGTTTGTTTCTCAAGACAGGGTTTCTCTGTGTAGCCCTGGTTATCCTGGAACTTGCTCTGTAGAACAGTATGGCCTCAAACTCAGATCTGCTTGCTTCTGCCTCCCAAGTGCTGGGGTTAAAGGCGTGCACTGCAACTGCCCAGCTAACGTCTTAGCAATTACTTTATTTTACTTGCAAAAAAAGTCTCTATAAGCATTCCTAGAAAATTTAGTAACTTAATGCTTTCTAAATAAAATACTCGTGAATTCTTGTTGATTATTTAGAGACATGGAAAATAATATGTAATTGTCTAAAATAGCAACACAAAATGCTAACATATATGATTTTAATTACATAATAGCATGCATATTATGTAATAAGATGCATCTTATACATATATATACATACATATGTGTGTTGGTTATGCTTTGCTACCTTATGAAGTGGTAATTCATGGTGTTTTTAGTTAATGTAAAGTGATAGATTTACTTCAAGTCACAATT